AATCTGATTTTATTCCAAAACTGTTGTAGCATATGCTCACTGAACACTAATTTCCACTGCTTAATATCATTAACAAGACACTAAGCTCAAGTTATAGCTAGTTACTTATGCTACCTTTGGCTCTACTTAGCATGACTATAGCATTCACCAGCCTCTGATCATTGCACAACCCAGAGTGTGGCTACCTAATGCAGCCCACCCAGTGCTATTCGATCTTTTGAGGACTGTGGGACTCCTAGAACCTGACAGTTTGAGCAAAAGCACATATGAAGCTGTGGCACATGGTTTACACAGAACAGAGGCTTTTGCCTCCTCATAGCTCACGAAAAAAAGACAGCCTAGCTATTATTTCCCAACCTAGTACTAAATTGAGTGCATGGAAGCCCCAAAGAAACAAACAAATTTAGTTACAGGGGTTGCAACTTAGCCTGTTTTCTTACTCTGCTCTTATTACAATTATAAGAGAAAACAAGAAAAATAAACACATCTCCCCCTGCACTTCAGTTTTATGAATTTCCTTCCTGTAGCATGTAAACTGAAGTCATATAGTCCTCAGTGTGTCTTTTCCGCCTGCTCTGTTGTCAGCACTCTTCTCCCACACCTTCCTGAAACGGTAATACGCCTTCCTTTGTATCAGCCCGCCTCCCCCAACCCCCATCTTCCTAGCATGTTCAGACTACTTCACATACAAATTTAGAATCTTTCTAGCATACAGACCTAGCTTCTGACATGTACAAAAACCAAAGTGGTTACAAAACTGATTTAAAAGTTATTGCATGCCTGCCTTCCAGTCTACAGGGGCTACAAACTGATGGGGAATTAAGAGTAAGAATTGAAGCAAAATGAAGTAAAGCTAACAAGGATAAAATCCTCCTAAGAGAAGCCAGGGCATTACTGAGACTTTTCTTTGCACAGCCAAAAAAATGTTCCTTGAACCTGAAAGAATTCCAGCATTCTAAACCTACATGTATAGAGTATCAAAAGCTGTGTGCACTAAAAGTGTTTATGTATCAGTTATTCATATACTACCACTCAGATATCAGATACACACAGTTAGCTAACACCTTTGCTTAGGAAAAGTGAAAGGAATTATAAATAACATCAATTCACAACTTTACGAAGACAAAAAAGGGGTTTAGGTTTAAAAGGTCTTACAAAAAAGGATTTTCAAGTGTACCAGGCCTAGAGCCCGACAAGTTTCCCTCTTTAACCTGGGGCTGCGAGAAAGGGAATGGGTGTTCATCTTAGAAGATATTTTAAATGCAGATCAATTACACCTACACCTAGGCATTTCTTCCTTAAGAGCATATCCACATAGATTACAATGCATTTGATATATAAATAGTACCCTGGGCCAAGAATGATGTTTGAAGCGTGAATCACCACACTACGAACTTGTGTGAAACATTTAAATTCCTTAAAAAGTGTTAGGATAGCTAAATTCTATAGAAAAGTACTCAAGAACCAACTCAGGATGAGAGTGAGGAAACAAAAAAGTCAGGATAGCTGAAAACCTGACACAGTAGCCTACCACCTACAAAGTTCACCTGCCAGGTGATTTCTTCAGAAGTGCTTTCTTTTTTAATTGGTATTAGTTTAAAAGAATAATTTCACTTTAAAAGTACATTCTAAAGATCTGAGATGCAAACACACATTCTGAAGCTTCACACAAATGTGACAAGAAACCCAACAAGCTCATTCCCAAACTGACTAGTTTAGCTCCAAATCACAATTAAGGTAACTGAAAGGGGTCATAAACTGATTACTATCACTGTGTGAAGGTCCCTATAGTATGCCCAGCATTATAGCACATAACAGCAAACTCAGCCCTGGTTAACATAAAACTCTAAACTCTTAACTGGACCTAAACTCTTGACACCAATCAATAGAAACTGTGTGCAAAAATGTCAGATTTGACAATCAAAACTGGCAAACTGTATCCAAAGCACCATATGTCTTCTCACTAGCTGTGGTTCTGAGATGACAGATATGAAAACTGGATGAAAAGCAGCAAGTTAACTGGAAGATGCAATGCTATTTGTCTTTGTAGCAGCAAAGGCTCGGCTTTTATCCACTTTTTATCCAGGGATGTAGGTTTGACCTGTCAACACTTCAGAAGGTCATAAATCAGTAATAAGCTAAAGAGAGTGCACAACATCATGAACTTGTACAGATTTTCTTTAGATTATTTTCACCTCTCAACTGCCTTATGCTCAAGCAAGCTTTCTAAGAGGCATGCAGCAGAAGATGAAGAACGACTATTAAGCGCCACCTCCACCCCCACACCTCCCTTCCCCCCCCCAAACCCAAATGTCAGAGTTCATACTAGGAACAAACCCAATTTAGTTGCTCTCCTCTCTGACAGCAGAAAGCCCGGGGAAAAAAAATATACTGAGGAACTTTTATCACTTGCTACAAATTAAAGAAATTCTCTACTTCAGCATAAAAGCACAAATTACAATTTACTACTACTTCGGGGCATCCCCAGGCATATTTAAGTATCCAGCTACATCCCAAACAAATTGGCTGGATTTAACATATACTTTGTTGAGGTACTTTTTGTAATCAGAATTAAAATATCATACACTTTTGTCAAGCAACTACCAAACAACATTGGTTTTATGTCAGGCAGGAAGTATTATGGTTTGCTTTTTTATGATTCAATTATAACACCGACAGCACTGGAGAGACCCATTCAACCATCAGGTATGATCAAGTAGGGAAACAATGAGCAAGCAGCCCTCTATCCCAGGCCTAGCACACCAACTAGTTTAAAATGTATTCAAACCCCTGCCATGACTACTTCCCCACCTGTTATTAACCTTATTAATCTGAGGCATATTAATCTTAGAGCGGCATTTTACACGTCACTGATTAACATTTGCAAACATGTAGGCTAAACAGGCTGAAGTCAGTGCTGCAGTGCTTAACCACAACATAAGAGGACCTCACTCTCGAAAAGAAAAAAAAGATATTGAAGAGGGAATTGGTATTATCAAAGCTATTTACAGTCTCCTGCTTACACGCAGGACTGGCACTCACAAATTACGCATTGTATAAAGTGTCCAACGCCCCTTATGACAGTAGGCGAAGAAAAAAAAAGATGCATGAAGCGAGAGAAATGACAAGTCTGTGGCATGACCGGGCGGGCGCCTCCTTGGCAAGAGAGACGCTCTCCCTGCACATAGACATTCACGCACCCTCAGCTCAACACTGAGTAAACACAACACGAGAGCGGAGTTGAGCAGGGTGGTGACTCAGTCAGGAGTACGAGATTCGGTCCCACAGGGTAAGAAATTCAGGGACACGGGACCGGGGGCCCATCGGCGCTCCCTACTCACCAGCAAACAGTCCACGTTCACTTCGGATTTGGGGTCCTTTAAAGTCACGTCGATTTTTTCAAACCGAGACTCAAAACTTTCTCCCGTCGACATGTTTCCAGAGATAAAAAGTTGCCCTTATTCCAGAGCAAAGTAAGGTTAAAAATAATGAAAAAAAAAAAAAAAAAAAGAGGAACAAGCGAGCACAAAAGAGAAACCACACAGCCTATACCAGGCAGAGGAGAGCTTCCTGCAAAATCCCTTCAATCACAGAAGTCTCTGAGGCTTGTCCCCCTCGCTGCCCCGCCAAAGGGGCAGAGAACAGAACGACAGTCCGCTGCAGGGGGGGGATAAGGCTGCTTCTTCTCCCTCCTCCACGCACGCACGCACTTTCCTGGGCTGCTCACAACACCGCAGCAGCAGGTTTCCTTTCCCTCCCTCCTCTACTCGGGCCCCAGTGTCTCGGCAACCTCATTTTCCCAGCCGGGGAAGCCGCCCTGAGAGCCAGCGTAGCGGTTCCACCTCCCAGCCGTGCAGGAGCGGCGGCGGGTAGGTGCCAGGCTCCGAAACACAGCTTTCTTTGCAGAAAGCCAGATGAAAAAGCAACAACAACAGAAAATAAAAAGAACGGAAAAATATATAAAACCGCAAAAACCTGCAACAAAATGAGGGTGGGAAATAGGAAAATCCTCTCGGCGGCGTGTCTCAGCAACGTGGGGTCGGTCCTTCCATGGGCACAGAGATCCCAGGGCGGGGCGGGGGACAGGCTGCCCCTCGCCTCGGTTGTGCCCTGCTTGCTGCGGGAGGGCGGGCGGGCAACGCAGGGCTGCCAGCTGGGCGCACAGGCCGCCCCGGCCCCGCTGCGAGCGCACGCCGAGGACAGGGTGCGAGTCCCTTCAACGGCGGAGCGACAGCATCTTTCTTCCCCTCTCTCTCTCCTTCTCCTCGCTGCGCGGCCGCCGGCGGCTCCTCACTGCCTCTGCCAAAGCCGGCTGCGCTGTCCCCAGCTCCACTCCTCCACTTCACGTACGGAGCTGCAACCCGGACCACTTCAGGACCGACCCGAGGCTGCAACGCGAGAGGGAGGAGGAAAAGAGGTGGCTTAAGGGGAGGGGAGAGCGTAAGGTCCGGCCGCGACGACTGCGAGGAAACCTGCTGTGAGGAGAGACACCAACATGTCCGCCTTCCTGTTTGAACCGTCGGGGGGGGGGGGGGAGGCGGTGGATGGGATCGGCGGCGTAGTGCGCATGTGCCGGGGGAACGGCTCCTGTGCGGGCGGGGCGGGGCGGGGCGAAGGGGGGGGGGAGGGGGCCGAAGGTATGCGCGCGAGGAGGGGGAGCGCGGCCGCCGCGCCGCTCGGCTCCCACCCGCCCTTCCCGCCCCCATTCCCCGCTTCAACGGTCGGAGGGGGCGCGCGCGCGCCGCTCCTGCCAGGCCCGGGAAGGGAAAAGGGCGGGGCGGCGGCGGGAGCGAGCGTGCGGTGGGTGAGGGGGCGCGCGCTCGTCAACGGCCCCGGCGTCGGGGCGGGTTTGACAGCCGGGGCCGGGAGCGCGGCGAGGCGCGCCCCTCGTAGCCGTTGTCCGTGTGCTCGATGCACACGATGGTGCCGGCGGGAGGAGGTGCGAGCGGCGGTGGCTTCCCGCAGGGAAAGCGGCCACTGCGCCCCCAGGGGACGATGTTGCCCGCCGAACGCCTGCCCTGGCTCCCTGAAGGCACCGCAGAGCTGCCCGCGCCTTCCTCTGAGGGAAACAGCGCAGGGATCTGCTGGCCGCAAGGAGGGGGCAGGTGCCTGTGGGGTGACCCAGCTCGGGGGATGTCTGTGGAGCATCCCTGGGGATCTTCTAAATCCGTTGGACAGTGAGCAGCCGGCTGTGGGTAGCTTTGCTTGAGCGTGGAGGGCTGGAGAAGTTGACCTCCAGAGAGGCCGGCTTCCCAACAGCACAAACTCAGAGCAGCCCAGCTGATGACCTAGTAAGAGCCATGTGCAAGGTAGCACACCTAACTTTTAAAGGTTAGATGCAGCGTTAAACGTGTAACCTATACAGCGTATCTTTGCATACAGGTGTTTCCAGTTTAAAGTTACTCTGGGACTGCAGTAGGGATTGTTTCTTCCAGTGAGGGAACTGCACGGAACTAATGATTTCAAATCATATCGGGCAGAGGACACTGTACTGATTCACTTCATTGACTTCCACTGCAGTTCCAGAAATGGCAATGGCATTTTTACAAAGATGACTAAAAATTATACACAGAATGTCGAGTCATTAATCTAATCTATGTTTGCTGAACAGCTGCCAATAGCAGACCTGAATCGCTAGCATTTTGAGTTATTTTCAATGTCAAGGTTAAGAACCAAATGATCTATAGCCAAGTGCTGTTCGATCCTGGATATTCACTCCTTGCGATCTTGTTTTAGTCAGAGAGAAAAAAGAAACAGCATTCTGCTTTGTCTTGTCCACAGCTGCCTGCATCTTTTGTTTTTGTTTTTGTTTTCTAATAAGAAGTATGTACAGTTAAAGCAAAAATACATGCTACAACAACTTTACACTCATGTTTACTTTCACTCGTTTTGTGCTGGCTGTTACCACAGCCCTTTGATTTGGAGGGTTTGGTTGCTCTTGGAAATGCAGATGTTCCATTTCAGCAACCACAGTCCGAAGAGAACATCTCATATACTCCGCAAAAGTTACAGGGTGTAGGCTTGGGATCGTTTCATGTGTGATGCAGAAAGTAATTCCTAAAATACAAAGAAAATGCTTCTTATAAAGAAAATGCTTCTTACGCTCCTCATATTAAGCAAGATAAAAATCATTACAGATACAGAGACTGGGTTCAGATGTTAAAACACAGGCAGGGATGAAGCCAGACCTCAGTGGGATGATTTGAAACACCTAGCTGCGAAGAATGCAATATTCATGAGGCCTGTAATAGAGTAAGGAGGAAGAAGCCCAAATCTGCAGCTCAGGGCAGGGTCACCCTGTAGTGACACAAGTCCTGAGCCATGCTCCAGGTGCTGCTTATGTGTTTTATCCAGAATCTGTGGGGAAGCATGTAGGTACTCATGGAAATGCAAAGCTTTCTTCCATCCTTTCCAGGTCTCCCTGCAACTAAGGTGCACGGGTCTTACTCTCACTTGCCTTTCACATCTTTGCATTACTCTGGGTTTTTTTACATTGGCCCAGGTTCAACACAGTAAGTAGAGAGAAGCACCATCCATTAGCTTGGCAACTGGGAGAATTCACAGAGATACAAGAGCTGGGCGTCAGACAGACTCAGGTTCACGTGTTTATTTTCTAGTGAAGGATCTTGCCCCTAGACTGGTACTCCAGAATGCCTCTTCCACTGTTTGTGGTGAGGGAGACTGCTGTGTTTCTGTTCAGCTGTGAGCAAACTCTGTGTGTTTCAAATAAGTCTGTCAGACTGGGCCTTTCTCATGACCATGGTGGATTAAAAGTGCTTGTCTGTCTGTCTCAAATAGAACAGAATTTGTGTGGGAGGTACTTTCCCCCACTATCTAGGAAACTGAGCACTGCTTAGAAAGCGTGAAAGGGAGGCTTTGGCTACAAAGAGCAAAAAGGGAAATCAATTCTAATTTTAAAAGCAGGTATGTGTTAAGCGTCTGGTGTGATAAACCATCACGTTGTAACTTGAGAGTGTAATGTAATAGTTGCTAATCCAGTGAATGCTCATTCACATGCTTGGATCTTGAAGCCCATTCTCATAGAATAATAGAATGGTTTGGGTTGGAAGAGACTTCAAAGATCATCTCGTTCCAACTCCCCTGCCATGGGCAGGGACACCTTCCACTGGATCAGGTTGCTCAAAACCCCATCCAACCAATGAACACTTCCAGGAATGGGCAGCCACAACTTCTCTGGGTACCTGTTCCAGTGACTCACCACCCTCACAGTAAAGAATTTTTTCCTAATATCTAATCTCCCCTCTGTCAGCTAAAAGCCATTCCCCCTTGTCCTGTCCTTACAGGCCCTTGTAAAAAGTCCCTCTCCAGATTTTCTGTAGGCCCTTTTTAGTTACTGGAAGCTGCTCTAAGGTCTCCTGTGAGCCTTCTCCAGGCTGAACAGCCCCAGCTCTCTCATCCTGTCTTCATAGGAGAGGTGCTCCTGCCCTCTGATCATCTCCATAGCCATCCTCTGGACTCGCTCAAGCAGGTCCATGTTCTTCTTATGTTGGCAGCCCCAGAGCGAACTTAATAAAAAAGGAATCATAGTCCTCCTATCCATGTTGTCTTGCCTATTTTATAAGATATCTAAATGCTGTTGCTTTTAGTGTGAAACAAGTAAGACAAATTGACACTGACCTAAAAGCTGATTGTTTGGTAGGCATTGCAATTTCCTATTAAACACAGACATGCAGTAAACTGTAGAATTATTCCATTGGCTTCCCCAAAAAATATTATACCATACCTTATGAAAAGTACATTAAATGTGTTTATAAACACATAAATAGTGTTTATCATGTAAATAGCATTCAGGTACATTAGAGTAACAAGACTGTGAATTCTGAGAGGTTTCAGTAGTGCCTATTTCAGGAAGCGAGCAAACAGCAAGAGCAGAAGAACAATGGAATACTCAGCAAGTGTTAGCTCAGCCGTCTCTGAACAGCCATGGTTACTCCCATCCTCTCATGAAAACCTAAGAAAAAAAAAAGTGGAAGAGCTTGCAATAAAGTGAAAGGTCATCTAGGGTTTTTAGGTCATGGAGTGTGCATTTTTAAAAGGTGCGTACCATCAAAATGGGAGAAAAGGGTAGGAAACGTGTTTCTGAAGCAACTACTGACTTCAGAAGAGTTACACAAGCAGAAATGAGACTATATCCTCTTCACCATATTAGGCCAAGTTAGTAATACATTCACATTCAACTTCCTATTTAGTCAACATGAAACCTACAGCAGTTAAATCATACTACATTGAGCCTACCTTTGGTCCACCACCCTCTCTCCTTGTTTGCCATACAAAGCTGGCTCAGGTTTGCTGCAGCTCTAGTTCTTCTGATAATTAATAGCACAAACCAGTATAGCTCAAAGCTCTGAGATGAAGACTGGTCAACAAATCCAGTCATTGGGCAAAACATTGCTAAAGTTCATCTGTGCAACAGAAAGGCCTTTTGCAGGAGTTTCTTACTTCAGCAAGGAATGATGGCTGCTCATGCAGACATATCTGAACTGTATACTGAAGTCACACCAATATTGATCTCATATCTGAAAAATAAAGTGTTAGGTGATGAATGCTGGTGGCTATAAGCAGCTAATTTTAAGCTGCAGTTACAGTGCCAAATGCAGTGCAGCCCCTTCACCTCTCTTGGGGGCTCATATAAGCACTCAAAAAACTCCTCAAGAAGTTACAGACTGTAAGCTCAAGGTGTGAGGGGCAAGGTGCTTTGGATAGTGAACACATTAAAATGCTTTACTGATAGAAAAGAGAAAACAGAGAAATAAGATAGATATTGTATCATTTAGTGTACTGAGAAAAGGCATCTTGATTCTTGCAGGATGAGGTAAAAGAACTAGAACAGGGATGGATTGGATTAGATTGGAAGGTAATAAAATAGAATAGAAAAGAACAGAATATAAATCACCTAGGCAATAAAAGTTGCTAACAAGAGAAGACAAATTTGGATATAATAGGTCAAAAGAGAATTTTGCATGGACAGACTCAACAAAAGTAGTATCTTTCAAACATCTACAGATGCTGAAACAGGGCAACTTATACACATACATTTATAAATATGTATGTTTTCCTGCAGCTTTCGAAAAGATGTGAGGCTCCAGTCCTATGACCTTGCATATCCCAGTGCATCCCAGCTTTCCAACAAAGGGCAGTTGCTGCTGTTTCCTCTTTACAGCACAGTGCATTTTCAGTCCAGAATCCTCAGAAGAAACCGCTCCCACTGCCTGCGAGCAGTGAGTGATGTATAAGAAATGGGGCACCTAAATCTTTGTTGCATTTTCTTGAACAAGCTAGACATAAGGGGTGGAGGATGTTGGAATAAATCACCTTTTGGAACTTTGCAGTGGTCTGGTTTGATGGAGAGGCTCATATCTGAACAGAAACTGTTTCAAGGGAGGAAGTAAACTGGATGGGGTTGTCTGCTCCAGTGCAAACACAGATGCGTTTGCTGCCAGCAGACAAGGGCATAGTTGTATAAACAGTGCAGTGTAGACACTCCCAAAGTAACTTCTGCTTTCTCTGGAAGGGAGGGGAGCTGTGAGCCCAGAGATAGACAGCAATCCACAGGATAAATATCTGGTCACCATATGGCTCAGGCCAATATCAACCACTAATACATATGCAGTTCAGGCTCCCTTTCCTTTATGCTTTAAAAGTGCAGAAAAAAGCCCTGTGACCAATGTATGGCAAAAGCTTACAAAGTGATTTGAAATCAAATCAAAACAAAATTCCACTGGAATGCTGAAAGCTTCATACCTCAGTAAGGACAATTTCCGTGGCAAATGCTGTTTTCCCACTGAAGCCACTTCTTGGGTACAGAAAATGTTAAGATGCCAGAAATTCTTCTTTCACCCTGGGAAAAAGCTTTTTATTTTCACTATCCAAGAGCTTAAAAATGGCCCACGTAGTTCTTACTTGAAATCTTCAGAAACCCAAACAAACTCAAGTCTTAAGTCAAAGAAAAGCCATGGAAAAATATAGCCTGCAAAAAAAGAAGGTTTCAGAAAGTTATAAGTATATTAAAGCAAGAGCTAAAAAATAATCTCCTGGTGGTATCATCTATCAGGATATAAAACATATATTATTTGTGTCTTTTTACTTCCATTATAGGTAGTATGATTACCATCATTATAGACCTCCTTGCACATTAAGCTATCATGAATCTGGCTTTCCGCTCTGCTATTAATTTTTTAGCTATGAATCACCTACAACATCAAGAATTTTTCTTAGTTTTCCAGTTCTTAACCCTAAGTGCTCTCTCCCAGAACAAATTTCTCTCACACCTTACTTCTACTTCCCCCATATACATGTATCATGTTTCTTGTGATTGGATTAGTTTTGCAGTTCTTGCTCAAATAACTGCTCTTCTGAAGACAAAAGTCAAAAGTAAACTGGGCTGAGTTTAAAAGTAGCCTAGCTTTGATTCTCCTGGGTTTGTTTTTATGTATGTTGTCCCAAATATCTACACTGCCTACAGATGCTTTGCTCTGCTGAAGGCTATGTCAAATCCATAAAAAGCCAGGGTTTTATCTTGGGCCTGGGAAATATTTAGCATTTTCAGCCCTTAACAGATAATTAACTTCTAAATTATACATTTTATAACTTTGCTGGAATAAATAGAGTGGGCTTCATACAATCCTTCCCTGGGCAGATTGGCAGAAGTTGCAGTTCTTGACACTCACAGCATAAAGTTTTGCAACATGAGTTGCAGACAATTTCTTTTATATAATGAATCTTCATGGAGTTCTATATGGCTTGCGTCTTCAATTTAAGGCACTCAAATGGCACTAAACATGCAGTTGTTAAAAACCCGTGCATTTCATATGACTCTCTTCCAGATATTAAAAAAATATATATATTAAAAAAGTTTCATCCCTGAAAAAGAATTCAAGTTCATTGGAACGACAGGAATTATAAATGAGTCGACTTTGTCATTTTTAGTGGCTTTAATAACTAAATCACAGAAGTTGAATTACTGATTTTGTTCACACTTGGGATATTTTCAAATTGTCCTATTAAACTCACGTCACTAGACAATTGACTAATAGTTATTTTGCACCAACACTCACTGTTATGTTTGTAGAGCTCTACTACTTTTAGAGCACACCTGTAAGCTTTGAGAGAGTCTAGTCTTAAAAGGACAGAGAGGATTTAGAATTAATTTTTTATTATAATTCTGATTTCGTTCTGCCATAGCAACCCAAAATCCAGAAATGGAAGTTTTATAGGTATGATCATAGGCAGAAAACTACATGTATGAAAGTGTGAGCAAGTTGTTTCAGGTCTAGAATCAAAGGGTTAATCTCTCCCTCCTCTCCTGGAAGATAAAAGACACCAAACTTCCTACTTCCTGTTGCAAAATGCCATTCGAGTCTCCTGGGTAATTCAACTCTTAATACTTGGAAGGTGGCAATTTTATATCAGTCTTACCCCATTATTGTGCTTCTTTATTATGATTATTATTCATCATTATTCTTCTTGTTATCATTGTTATTATTATTGGTATTGTTATTATTGTTGTTGTTATTATTATTACTTCAAGTCAGAGGAAATGCCTTAAACTGGCGTGAAACAGAGAAGGGGGCACTTAGACTCCTAATTTGATGAGAGCAAAAATAACCTGACAAAGGGACAAACTAAAGGACAGGGATGGGCCTTTTACTGAGATCCATTGTAAAAGTGTGTTAGACCCAATGTGCTACCTTCTCAATAGTGAGTTTTTAGGCAGAGGGGGGAAAAGGAGCTAACTCCTCTGCCTACTTCTTCCACAGAGGCAAATATAGCCCCTTCTCCACGAGGGAGAATGGCAGGATCATCCTGAGCTGCCTCTGAGCAGCTGCTGGTGCCTGGCACAGGTTAGGAGAGCTTTCTGCATAACTGATGGTGCCACAAACTCTTCAGCACTGTGCAGGGTCTCAGCCCTGCAAACCCAGCACAGTCTGCATATAATGCAAAATCCACAGCAAACTCTGTCAGGGGTATTACTAGATGTGGAGATGAATTGTGGGATTTCCCTCTAGGTACAACAGTGCATTTAGTATGTGGGGTGGATGAGTGTGTGGATAACAGGTATTGCTATGAGCTTGGAAATACAAAGGAAGCAAGTAGATAGAAAAAGAATTGCTTAAAAACGCTCTAAAATATTTGTAGAGCTTGGTTTTGTGTTTCTTACATTTAATCTGTAGTCTTTCTGGGTGACTGCATCAGAGAGAGCCTTTTTATTAAAGGAGAGAAATACATTCAAAATCCTCTGTCCAGGGCTGTGCTGCGATCTCATGAAAATTCATGTTTGCTCATTTCTTCACAGTAGATTTGTAATGACACTCCTGACACATCAAAGTGCACTGTAAGAATAGATGAGGCTGCTCTGTGAAGCACTGGGTTAAAAAAAGTACAAGGTGATTACTCATTCATGGTCCATGGCTGTACAAACACTTGCAAATTGCTTCCGGCCAATGTTCTAGCACCTTTACCATAGAAACGAGAGGTAGTATGGCAAGCCAAGCTGTCCTTCAAGAGTCTCATCAAATGAAAACATAGCTGTGAATGTGTACGCAAAAGCAGTGCTTGTAAAGGGTTATATTGTTACACTTCTGCAATTTCTTGCTCCTGTTTGTGTGCCAAGCTTTGGTGAAACTATGGAATAAGTCCGAACTAGACTTATTCCACTATTGCCATAGACTAATTTTTAAGCAAATTACTGACACTATAAGAACTCCAAATTATTATGGAGTTTGGATTTGTTGTAATGAATATCATCCCTGCCCATGGCAGGGGGGTTGGAACCAGAAGTTCTTTAGGGTCCCTTCCAACACAAAACATTCTATGCTTCTAAAAGGTCTTTCGTTTACCTAATTTTATGTAGATCACAGCACTCCTTTGCAGTGGCCGTGCCATCATTTTACAGTCCTATGAAGGCAGCAGCCTGCATTGTAAAATGCCCATGGCAATGTCCACACCACACTGACAGACATGTAATTCAGCTGACTGAAGTTGCAGTGGTTGCATCCTCTTAACCCAAACCTGAGTTGCCTGCTAGCCCCAGGTCATAAGACCAGAAGCTTGTCCTTTTGCCTGTAAATGTGCAGAAAAGAGACTTACAACTCCACACCTCCAGTTTTACCCAACCTAGTTCCTAGCCAGCTAGCTGAGGTACCCACAGTGGCAAAATCAGCCTCCACTAACCAGTATGTTACCTGGCCAGGCTCCAAAGGCCATGTTGCCGCAGCTCCATGCAGCTGTTCTTCAACCAGCTGGATTACACCATCACATCTGCTGAGCGCTATGCAGACATGGTCTGAATTGCTGTGGGCATTTTACAGCACAGGCAGCACAATGCTGCTACCTTTGTTGTACGTGAGGAAAATGATGGCATGGCTACCACAAAGGAGTGCTGGGAACTACTTCAAATTGGATAATCACAAGACTCTTTTCACTGAAACAAACCCAGGTTCTGTAATAGTTTGGATATAGTACTTGTAGTTTCAGTAATTTGAATACAGGAGTAGCAAATAGAAATCCATCCAATTATAAAAAATCACGTAATTATAACAGGCAGCGGTCACTGATGTTATCTGCACGGCTGGTAAATACATCAGGAATGTCTTGTGGCCAGTATTTCTACTATTTGATGACCACATGATTATTTTTGGTTAGCTGTTACTATTTCCTTCTTGACTCATTCCTAAAAAGGCACTGGAACATCACAGTCTTATCACTCAGACAGCTGGAACTGCAACCATCTTTAAATCAGTTTTGCAAACCCACACCCGGAGCATCCCCCACCAGAAGGGTGTGCGCTCTGCGTCTTGTCAGCTTGAAGTCCCCCCTTCTTGTTTGACGTGAGCCATGCAATCCCGCCTTTCATTTGGGCTTGTTGGGACTGGACTTAGTCTGAGGGGGAGCCATCTGTGATGCATTGGAAGTAATGCCACACCACTGGAAGACAAGGGAAGAAATGTTGGCCTTGTGCGCTGGGGGAGATGATCAGTGATTAGTCTGAGTACATACTTTGTTACTGTCTTTTTTCATGTCCTGATCAGACTATTGCAAAACCGCGTACGCAGACTCCCCAAAATGAGTCATGTCTGTCGGCGTGGATGTCTGCAAGATGTCTTTGCACAGAGGTGCTGAGCTGTGTGGGAAGCTTGTAGGAAAGGACCACCCTGGCGTGGCACAACAGCTTATTTACTAGAGAGCATCTTGGTGGAACAGATAGGGGCTAGTGAGTCTGCGCCAGCTGTTGGTTAGCTTCCAGGTAAAATGTAGTGGGTTCACTGTGACCCCCAAAGCCCTGCATGCCAGCTTGGCAGCCACGGGGAGGTGAAGCTATGCTTTGGAAGGGTAATTACCCAGAGGGACTCAGGGCACTGGAATGTGATACTCACCACACCTCTGGGACCCCAGCCTTTCCTCGCTTGTGGCATATTCCGATGTGTCTGGTTTTAGACCCACTGTCTGTGAGACTTTTCCTGTACATTGAATCCTACACTGGGAGAAGGAGCTGCATTACTCACACATAGTTTCAAAACTGGGAGCAAACTGAATGGTTTCTTGCTTCCATAGATGTATGACTTCATCCTCTCTATCTTCCAACTTCATGCACTAGGACAGCTAGATTTATAAGATGATCCTCTTTTCTTCAGAGGCAGATCCACACTGCCTTATCACCAGCTGAACAAAAATTCCTTCCTTATCACCTGTTAAGTGAAAGGATCAGTGTGCATTGAAATGGAGTAGCTATGTGGTATCTCCTGGTTTCTACCTGTCAGTAAATAAGCTTCATTCAGTTTCAGTAACTTGGCTTTTCTTAATATGTTACTTTACTTCTTGTTATTTAAACAAGAAAAAGATGGGTTGGTATGGCAAAATTCAAACTTTCTAAAGCACAGCAGGCTAATACAGTAATGTCTCAATATTGAACAAGTGAAAAAATATTTTCCAGTCACTGACTCCTGAGCTTTCTGCAGCAGAGCAATTTGCTCAGGTTATTCATCGGGAATTTGTGATTAGCAGTGAGCTATTAATTGCTGAAACTCTGGTTTGCTGCTATTGTCCATAATGGATGAGAAAATCTTAGGCAGCGCAGTCCATTCCAAGCCCTGCAATTTACACTTACTAGAATACTATGACCAGGACTATATTCAGAAATTGTTCCATCCTACTCTGTGTGTTTCCTTACTCGTTTCCTGGAATCTCTTTCCAAGCATTTACTGGACAATTACTTTACATGCCGAAAATAACATCTGTGAGACTTATCTTGATTTTTCTGCAGTTTATTCCCCTCTCATTCCTCAAAAAACCCCAAATTACAAACCTGTGTAAAAACTGATATTGAGAAATGGTAATGCAGATTTACACAACTTTCACACTCAATAGCTGTTTCTAGTAGTCTGCCTTTGTCCTTAGGATTTAACTAAATCTCTCACATAAAACAGAATTTGCTAGTACTTGACCTCTGTTTTCAGAGCCCCCAAACACAAAAAGCATTTAGAATCAATGACAATGCACAAAACACAGCACACTTCACTTAGTGCTCAGGGCAACACAATGCTCATCCTTTATATGGAGAGACCCAGGGTTAAAAAAGGATTGAAAATAAGCCTCAGTATTCTTTTCTAGGTCTTCTCCTGAAGAATCATGACAGCTGCTTCAAGCTGATTATACATTATTCAGTCCATCAGCACATGGTGCCCAACTCTACTGCTCAAGTAATCTTTTCCTCACTACATAAACTATATCACCGTCCACTCTTAACTTGCCTTCACTGGCTTCCTTCCTGTCTCTTAACTCCTCACTTCAAGCTCTTCATCCTCCATTTAAAGACCAAACATCATCTCCCCCCCTCCATTCCTGACCCTACTTCCCTTTCCTCCCAGTAGGGCTGCCGCAGCTTGCTTTGTTCCAGCTGTCTCTCTCCTTTTGTTTCCCAGCTGCTTTCTCCTGCATCCCTTTAGCTTCTCTTTGCACCACTTAAATCCCTTTCCTAGGTGGCTTTTCAGATATACTTCACACTTTTTCTTTCTTTTCTCACACTGACTTCTTGCTGGTTTATTTTTCTTCTTCTTCACTTTGGTGTTAACATCAGAGATGAGTTGGATCTGTGGTGATTAGCCATGAAAGAAAAAGTGAGTAGAACTTTAATTCTTGCAAAACTAATTGAAACATCTAAAAATTAACACTCAGAGGAAAAAAAACAACAAACTGGTGAGAAGCTAATTAAGGGAAAGAATGATGTTCAGTGGCCTTAAAATATGTAGAAAAAAGCACTGAATGAGAAGCTACAGAGAATAATTTTGCTTCTGGTCAAGGGACAGTAAGCCACACATTAAACATATTCCTTGAATTAGGAGCAGTTTCAAGTCTGTAATTCTTCTTAGCCCTTGCAGGGAGGCCCACAGTGGAAGAAAGGTGTGCTCTTATCACACCAGACAGCTAGGTCTATAATAGTTCCTCCTGCCACTCTCTTAGTCATTTACCACCCTACAAGCCTCGGGGAAGTCCAGTCACAGCTTCTTTCCCATCCAGTGGTGGGCTACACCTCTTGCTGCTATTCATGCAGTTGGGAAAAATTTGTCTGCTTCCCCAAGCAATAAATTGTCTTTCTTGTGTCTTCTAGATCAGTCTTGCTCAGCACAGCTTGCAGCCCCAGGGTTCACAGCCTGGCTTTTAGCTTAACAAGAACCTGGGCATTAAATTAATAATTTGATTTTTTTTTCTTGCGGGAGTGGAAGGAGCAAAAAATACAAGCTAATCTATTTAGGGCAAATGCTTAAAATTATTTAATTTGTATTTTAATTGATGTTTTTGTCACCAGTATCCTGCAGAAGGGATACTGTGTTTGCTTTGGCATTTTCAGACCCCCTGTAATATTTCTCACAATTTACACTTCTGAGGGGCTTCTTACATTTATAGCTTCACGGATACCTGGTTCTGGCCATATAGTGCAAAACACATATTTTGAAGCCTTCTATAGGAAAAGCAGAAGGTATCCACAATTTAGGATTGATTAACTTCCTTAGCAAGGAAGACTAGGGGAAATGCATTCTGCATATAAGGGTGGCACTGGTCCATTTCCATCCTCCCTGTTGGTTAAACTGGAAAAGACTTTTTTTTATTATTATTTTCAGAACAGATTATGCTCATAGGTCATTTACACAAATTCATAGAATCATAGAATCACAGAATGGTTTGTGTTGGAAAGGACCTTAAAGGTCATCCAGCTCCAACCCCCTGTCATGGGCAGGGACGCCATCCAATACAGCAGGTTGCTCAAAGCCCTGTCCACCCTGGCCTTGAACACTGCCAGAGATGGGGCAGCCACAGCTTCTCTGGACAACCTGTGCCAGTGCCTTACCACCCTCATAGTGAAGAATTTTTTCCTAATACCTAATCTAAATATCTGTACAAAATCTGAGGACTCGTGGCCTTATATATAACATATAATACATATTTTACTATAATTCTATATTATGTAATCTATTGTATTATATATGCTATATAATACTTAAAAATATTATATATTGAATATTTTTAAATATTATAGTATATAATAGTATATATAGTATATCCATACTATATAGGGTATAATATTTTTAAATATTATATATATATATACACACCATATACATATGTCTGTATAGGGTGGAATGCACCTCTGCCTCTGCTGGGGCCCCTCCAGCAGCTCTGCTGGCAGGAGCTGCCGCGAGGAGGTGTGAATCACAAAGGTGCTCCCAATCCCTGCAGGCTGTTTCACCAGCTGCTACAACCCCTGCCTCGGGGACTCTCTTGCTTGTGGCCCTCTGCTGGGCTCTCCACAAGCAGGGGCCTGATTCTGCAGATGGATGAAGGAGGGGAAGGCAGATGTTCTCTCAAAGGAAATAAAAAGGGCGTGAACTCCAGACACATGCTGTACCACAATTGCACATGCCTACATAAAATGCTCCTGACATAGCTTCTGCCACAGAAGCTGCCTCTCTGTGTCTTGCTTTTCTGTTGATTTTCCTATAACCAGAAATAGTAAATAACAAACTCGGAGTTAAAACTTATACCCACCCCTAAATGTCTCTGCTTTCAACAGAAACCAGTAAAAGGCTGTTTTTCTCCAGCACTTTTACAATAATCTATAAAGCTATTTCCAGATTGCTTGAACCAAGAATAGCCAGAGAATGTCAAGTCCTCCAGTACATGGCTGCGTCCTTCATTTCTTGGTAAGATAGATTTCCAGGCAAGTACACAGGCTTCAACTACTCCAAATGTTCAGATCAAGAAATGCTATGTGCAAGAGGCAGATAATTTCACCCCCTGCCATGTCCAGAAACAGGCAATATACTACAACCCAGCTCCTCCGCTTCTCCCATCACATAGGCCAGTCACTTGTTTTCGTTATTCTTTGTCCAGAGTTTTGACCTCTGATTGACTTTGAAGTTTACATATGAGGAAAAACAGTCAGGCAGCTGCTAAAACAAGCAAAGAGAGATCAAACAGTTCTGAAAGAATTAAAAACAAACAGCTTTTATCTTTTTCTTTTGTGTTTACCAATACATTAACAGATCCAAATAGATGGAGAGATGCACAAATGTGCATACATTTATTTAAATTATAACATTAAAAAAATTACATTAGAAGAATATTGTCTAGATTAGCACAGCCGAACATTGAAGGATAAGGAAATTAGGAAAATTAGGAAATACCAGATTAAGATTGCTATGCTAATTTATTTCTGTCAGTGGGTGTGATTATCCTGTGTTGTACAGAATGAGGCATGCATCCTGTGGGAAAGTCTAAAATATGACTGTGTCATGGAAGGGTTTGTAAGAAAACACATGCACATGGGGAGGGACAAAAAAAGATCACCCAGAGACTCTTAAATCTGCTGTTTGCTAATGCATCAGGAACTGACGCGGTACCTTACATGACACTATTTAATAACTGGGGAATAGGGAATCGAATGTCCTGGCTTGTTTTTCTAAGGAGAAAAAAGCCAGAGGAGAGCAGCCCCCTGTGTCACACATCAAGAAATGCTGATTCTTGCCATTTATCCAGTAACACAAGCTGTCATTGCAGGCATTTATTTTGTCAGCTTCAGAGTGGAGGTATCATGTCAGGCATTAAGTAGTAGGTCCAGATCCTGGAGCTGGAAGAAATCAGGTTTACTTGTTTTACTAAGCCTTCCTAACCCTCTTCTCTTTTAAATCTAGCCCAGAAATTTCATCCTGCTTTTGCTGGGCAGTTTCTCCTAATACTTCACCGCCTATTACTGGTCTAGTGTCAGTGAGTACTCAGGTCTTTAAAGAGGTGATATTGTCCAATTACTGTATTGGCAGATTGCTTTGACCTTTCCTGAGTAAACCAACATGGGAAAAGCTGTGGTAGTTCCCAGCAGTTGCCTTTTCAATGGACCTCACAGAAATTCACAGAACACAAAAAATTTTGCCTCTGAGATGAATGATTTTGACTTCCAAAGGCCTGCTGAAAACAATAATAGAATCATAGAAGAGTTAGGGTTGGAAAAGACCTTAAGGTCATCAAGTTCCAACCCCCCTGCCATGGGCAGGGACACCTCACACTAAACCATGTCACTCAAGGTTCTGTCCAGCCTGGCCTTGAACACCACCAGGGATGGAGCATTCACAACCTCCCTGGGCAACCTATTCCAGTGCCTCACCACCCTTACAGTAAAGAACTTCTTCCTTATATCCAGTCTAAACTTCCCCTGTTTAAGTTTTAACCCGTTACCCCTTGTCCTGTCACTACAGTCCCTAAAGAAGAGTCCCTCCCCAGCATCCCTATAGGCCCCCTTCAGATACTGGAAGGCTGCTATGAAGTCTCCACGCAGCCTTCTCTTCACCAGGCTGAACAGCCCCAACTTTTTCAGCCTGTCTTCATATGGGAGGTGCTCCAGTCCCCTGATCATCCTTGTGGCCCTCCTCTGGACTTGTTCCAACAGTTCCATGTCCTTTTTATGTTGAGGACACCAGAACTGCACACAATACTCCAGGTGAGGTCTCACAAGAGCAGAGTAGAGGGGCAGGATCACCTCCTTCGACCTGCTGGTCACACTCGTTTTGATGCAGCCCAGGATACGGTTGGCTTTCCGGGCTGCAAGCGCACACTGAAGCCGGCTCATGTTCAATTTCTCATCGACCAACACCCCCAAGTCCTTCTCCTCAGGGCTGCTCTGAATCTCTTCTCTGCCCAACCTCTAACTGTGCCTGGGATTGCTCCGACCCAGGTGTAGGACCTTGCACTTGGCATGGTTAAACTTCATGAGGTTGGCATCAGCCCACCTCACAAGTGTGTCGAGGTCCCTCTGGATGGCATTCCTTCCCTCCAGCGTATCAACAGAACCACACAGCTTGGTGTCATCGGCAAACTTGCTGAGGGCGCACTCAATCCCACTGTCCATGTCAGCGACAAAGATGTTGAACAAGACCGGTCCCAACACCGATCCCTGAGGGACACCACTCGTTACTGGTCTCCAGCTGGACACTGAGCCATTGACCACAACTCTTTGCATGCTCCATCCAGCCAATTCTTTATCCACTGAGTGGTCCATCCATCAAATTGATGTCTCTCCAACTTAGAGACAAGGATGTCGTGTGGGACAGTGTCAAACGCTTTGCACAAGTCCAGGTAGATGACATCAACTGCTCTACCCCTGTCCATCAGTTCTGTAGCCCCATCATAGAAGGCCACCAAATTGGTCAGGCAGGATTTCCCCTTAGTGAAGCCATGCTGGCTGTCACCAAGCACCTTGTTGATTTTCATGTGCCTTAGCATGCCTTCCAGGAGAATCTGCTCCAAGATTTTGCCAGGCACGGAGGTGAGACTGACTGGTCTGTAATTCCCCGGGTCATCCATTTTCCCCTTCTTGAAAATGGGGTTATATTTCCCTTTTTCCAGTTGTTGGGAACTTCACCTGACTGCCATGATGGCCATA